ATGGGGGTTTGTTGGGGGGACCCATGGGGGGTTTAGGAATTCCAGGGATCCAGAAGGAGAGGCTTTGAGTGGATTCTCTGGATCCCCAGGGGATTTCTCTGGATCTGCAGTGGGATTTGGGGATTCTGTAGATCCAGGGGGGGTTTCCATGGGAATTCCAGAGCCCATGGAGTACCAGAGCAGGTGATAAGGGCTCTGATCCCTCAAAGTTTACATGGAAACACCTTTGGATTATGCAACTCCTGCTGCCGTGAACTCGTGCTCGGGATATCTGGGAATGTGCAGCAGGAGATAAGAAGTTGCTGTTTGGAAGGATTTTGTCTCCATGGAAGCAAAAAGAAGGGAAAACAAAGTGGTTTTCTTGCTGTGAGAGATCATCCAGAGAGGATTTGGCCTGGGAATGTGCTCCCAGGAGGGATTTTGGATGGAGGTGGCCCAGGAATAGCCTGGGATTGTGTGGGGATCCCTGAGGATGAGGAGGGAATTCCCACACTGTGTGTGTCCAGGAGCTGTCATTCCATGGGAATGGGCACAGCTGGGACGTGGGAATCTCAGTGTTCCCTCCACAAACCCCACGGAGAACTGGTGGAAATCAGGACAAACCTCAGGATTTCATGGAGAGACTTTTCCTTCCCCCTTTTCACTCAATGTCCTGGAAAGATCTGTCAGGCAGAGACATCCCAGCAGGAAAACCTGACGGAGCAGTGGGAAAGTTCACAGCTGGCTGAGAAAAGCTCTTGGTGGGAACAGTCACAGCTTTTCCCAGAGCTGCTTTTATCCCTGGAGCAACAAAATAGGCCACACTTCCCTTTCCCACCCCCCAAATTCCCATTCCCACCCCCCAAATTCCCTTTCTGCTCCCCACATCCCATTTTTCCCCTCCAAATTCCCATTTTCCACCCCCAAATCCTTATTTTGCGGTTTTATGGAGTGATGTTTTCTCCTGCTGCTTCACTTTGGGATTAAATCCCCTCCTGACTTACTTTTCCCAATGTTTGAGCTGGAACTGGTGTTAACTCCTTCCTGGCTGGGATGGAATATAAATGTTGGACATTCCCAGTTTATCCAGGGATTAATGTGCTCTGCTGGGATCTCTGGATCCTTTCAGCTCCCTTAGCACAAGCCAAATTCCCACTTTTTTGTGGGATCAATACATGCTGGAAAACAGGGATTATTCAGCACTTTTCCAGGTCTGCTCTTCCTCTCCCTTGGCTTCTCCACTTTCCATGGGCTGGAAAACTTGACTCTGGGGATTGTTATTCCTGGATTTTCTTCCCTGGGGCAGACTCTGTGTTCCTATGTGTGTCCTGGGAATGTGCAGGCTCTGACCTCACTTGGGCACAATGACATCCCAGGGAATTCCTTGGCTCCCAGGGATTTCCTGGCAGAGCCAGACAAACCCACACTTGGCTCTTCCTCCTTCCGTAGTGACTCCCAAACTCTTGGCATTGCCATTCCCACCCCCAACAACATGATTTCTGTTCAATCCAAGGGGTTTTCCCCCTTCAAATCCATTTTTTTTCCTTCTATCCATGTGGTGTTTTCCCTTAAATCCATGATCCCTGACTGCAGGAAGATCATTACCCTGACTCCAACAGGAGTCCCATTCCCATATCCCACAGAGTCTCAAATCCATGTGGGTTTTTTTCTTTAGATCTGTATTTTTTTCCCCTTAAAGCCATAATTCCTGACTCCCACAGGATTCCCATTCCACATCCCACAGACCATCGTGCTCTGAACTCCAAGCAGAATCCAAGACCC